TGACGGGCCCCCTCATGGCCACCACGGAGCCCACCAAGCGGCGCCTGAGCGCGGAGCTGTGCCGATGGCTCCTGTCAGCGCACGTGCCGGAGCTGGGCAGCAAGCGCGTGCACCTGAACCTCAACTACGCCGAGAAGGTCGGGGACGGCATCATGGTGAGCCCATGGGGATGGTGACAGGGGCGTCCACGGGTCTGCGCTCTCCAACCGAGGTCTCCGTCGGACGCGTGCCCACCACGCCTACCCCCGATGTGCCGGTGGCGAACGGGGAATACCACTACTACGGGTAGCTTATTTCGGGGATGTCGCGAAGGTCGGAATCTAGAAGACGAGGTCAAAATGATAATCCGAGTGCACGTCACAACTGATTTTGTTGCACCTTCTTCTGGACCTACCGCGAATCTCATTAAATCGTACTCCGATGTCAAAGGCCCCTCAAAATGGATCGAATTTTAAGTATTTTTTTTTTAAATCGCAAAATGACTTTTTAGATAAATCGAAACGTTTCAGTTTTCCTTATCACGAGAGGATAGTTGGTTTTGTCATTTAAGATCACTGGAAAAAAATGTGCTAAATCGCACCTTTAGAAGGTAAGGTATGACCTTAGTGCCTTTAAGAAGGCATTGTAACTTCGAATGCTATTTTGGTAAATTCAAGAAAAAAACCGCCTCATACGTAGGCAAGGCAACCCACCTTTTTCAACTCCTCCCGTCCCAAAGTTCCACAATTTCGCAAATCAACTCTTGAAAATACGGCTAATTTAACATAAAAATGATCAAACAAAGAAAATTTTTCGTGAATGTTGGTTTCCAATGTCATTTACTTGCCAAATATCTCTCTGGTGGCCGCCCACGTCTAGTCTGGATTGCGGGGCTGGCGCCCTGGCCGCGCCTTGTGGGCTGGCAACTTATCCTGCGTGCCGTCGTTGGCCTTTACCGCCGAACCTTTCTTTCACTCCGCCCGCTTCCCGGCGGGATTACCCCCGATTATCTTATTCAAATCGCCGATGATTGAAGTGCATACTGCGAACTCCCTTCCCCCTCCCCTCCCAATCTTTTCAATTGTCAAACCTGGGGGGGAGGGGG